AGAGGCGGTTTAGCCAATCACAACACACTGGACTAGCTAACCAATCAGAGTCCATCGCTTATTTCTGAAGGAGGGGCTTCATAAAAGCAGGAAATGATCAGCGCGTTTATCAGAAAAGGGACAGAGCGGTGAAGAATAAAGGTAAATTATGTGAAAAATAATGCGTTTTTTAAAAAACGAAGCATGAACACGTTACTGCACCCCATAAACACAATCAAGCATAGAACAAAACCAGTCAACCACCCCTTTACATCATGTTAAAGCTGAGTGTGTTTAGCAATGTGGTCTGAAAAATTCAGCTTATCATCAATCACAACTCCAAGGTTTTTGATTATCAAATCAAAGACTGCAATTTATTTTTAAATAAGTATATATTCTTTTGCGTTTAATACTGTAAATGCTATTTCTCACCAATCTCTGTGTGTGCACAGTTTAAAGTGCATTTTGGAACGCAATGTGCGCTAGGATCATTTACACATTTGCATAATTTCCAGCATTTCTGTGAATATAATTTGGCATTTCACCAATATTTCGCCAAAATAAAAGCTTGAAGTTTTGAACGTTTGAAAGTGAAGAATTTAAGACATACATATTAGCATTGCAACTTGCAGTGTGATATAAAATAATTATTAGGCCTATAATTATCTTTTTTAAATTACTGTTTTACAGGACAATTGTAATTTAAACAGTAATATATTTATATGTCTTCATTTTTGTAATTAGAGTCATAATAATAATAATAATAACCCTTTATACGTGCAGTCCCATATATGAGTAATTTTAAAATAAAAGCATTCAAACTAAAACATTAACTAAAGAAAATTATATGTTAGATGTCGTATGACCATTAACCAACATCAGAGAACCATAAGCATGTGAATGTGATGCTAAATCATTGAAATGCTAACATAAAATCAAAAGTAAATATTTTACATCTAAGGTGGTTAGAGTAAAGATGTGGACAGATGAATTTTTTTGTAACTCTATTATTATTCTACAGCTTCACTGAGTCACGACGGGGCAATGATGATGTTTATGCAGCTCCAGGTAGCTTTGTTGCTCCCTCTTGGATTAGACATACACACTTTCATGAAGTGAAGTTCTACATCACTAATACTGTTCAGAAGAGAGGAACAGGGTTCCTATACTTTTGATGTTAGAGTGAACAAGCATTAGGGGAAATAAAGCCTGTGGCCAGGTTTGTTCTTTTGCTTCATTATTTGGTTTTCTAAAGTGAACTCCGGTGGTGCAGATACATCAAGTGAGATTGTTGCAGGAAGTGCCGTGGGGCCTAAATTGGAATCTAGCCCGTGTACCATGTGCCCGCTGTTCACAGAGCATGGGCTATTTTGCATTGCTATCACTATAGCAACCCTTGCAGCCACTTGGGAGTTCTGGGGGAGGACTGTTATACTAATGGACTGAAAATAAATCTCAAAATAAAATGCGTTTGCAAACCTCACTTACTCACTCGCTGGCTTGTAACACCGACGTACCACAAATCATATTTCCATAATGTTCTCATGGCAGATATGTCTGTCTTTATGATAGGATTGAGTATTTTGTTCATATATGGGCACTTGAAAATAAATTAATAGTGTCATGCATATGATATGCTTTTAAGTGTGTTTGTGTGTTTACAGTACAGCTCTTGACTCCTAAATGGAGGTAAACAATCTGGATAAAAAGGGAAGGAATTACACAATGGTTCATGGTAAAGCATCTGAATGAGTGTGGATGTGATGAATGGGGAGAAAAGGTTCAAACGGGGTGAAAGACAGAAAGAAGGAGAGGTGAAAGAGAGGAAATGCTCTGACTGGGTTGTGGTTCATCTTTCTGACAAGGTTCATCTTCCTCTGTGGCACACAGCTGCAAGGACGGTGTGATATATATGCTGTTCTCCTCCATCATCACACGTTATTTTCTGTTCACTCATGCAGTAATCAGTCTTTCTCTCATGTTTCGTCTTTCATGCTCTCGTGTAGCATCTGTGTTTGTGAGGGGCGGAGTGAAAGGCAGAGGAGGCGGGGCTTAGGACTGTCTCACATCATGTTCCGGTCTACGTTTTTAGCCAGTTCTCATTTCTGTCAAATGAACATTTCTTCTTTAATTTCTTCACTTCATTCATTTTCTTTGGCCCTGTCTCCATGCCTATTCTGTTCTCTGTTCTAATATGTAGCTGGAAAAAAGAAAAAAAAAAAAAAGAAAGAAAATTTTCTCATTATTATCATCCGCATGTTGTTCCAAACAATAACCAATTAATTACAACAAAATCTGTTGTGATAGCTTTAATTATGCTGAACCCTTAATTACAAAAAATGACTTGCAGTTCAGTAAGGGAGTCATTTGTGAACTCAGTAACGGCTGTGAACAATCCATTGAGTCTTATTCAAAGTGATAGGAGCGGGTCCGAATCTGTTTCATGAATCTTTTTGTTCGACTCATTATAGAGAATCAGTTCATAATTTGTGTCATCATTTAGCAAGTTTAAGAAAATAAGATTGGATGAAATGGCTGCACACACAAAAAAAAACAAAACGTATTTTTAACTTAAATTAAAGGTAATGATGTGCAAAAATATGCAAACACATTGTAGGGATATATGGATGGTAAGCAAAATAACTCAAAATATTCAACAAATAAATAAGTGAATTAACTATAAGCTTGTATTGCATAAAACCGTTACAGTCTTCATAAGGATCCAAAAGACATTACACACAAGGTGAAGGTGAATTTGTGCAGCACTGTTTTAGGGGCTGTAAGATACCATTTTTCCCCTTTTTTTTTTTACTGAACTGACAGAGACTGGATGCAAAAATACAGCGCGCTATTAGCAAGCAAACACTCTTCGTGAAATTGAGTCTCTCTGTTATTTGCCAGTTGCATCTTGCTTTAAATGCACCGCTGCTAAAATACTGAAGTCAGTTGACCTCTGTAATCGTCTGCAGTTGTTGGACGACTATTAGTTTAATCAACCATCCTGCTCTACTGCTCAGAGGAATGTGAAATCGTAACGTTAACAGTAAAAGTCTGTTATGATACAAACATAATAAATAATAATAATAATAATTAATTACATTTATATAGCGCTTTTCTAAGCACTCAAAGTGCTTTACATTGTGACGGGGGGATCTCCTCATCCACCACCAGTGTGCAGTATCCACCTGGATGATGCGACGGCAGCCATAGTGCACCAGAACGCCCACAACACACCAGCTTATTGGTGGAGAGGGGACAGAGTGATGAAGCCAATCATTATATGGGTATGATTAGGGGGCCATGATGATCAGAGGGCAATGGGCAAATTTGGCCAGGATGCCAAGGTCACACCTCTACTCTTTTCGAAAGACATCCTGGCATTTTTAATGACCACGGAGAGTCAGGACCTTGGTTTAACGTCTCATCCAAAGAAGGACGGTGCTTTTTTGACTGTATAGTGTCCCCGTCACTATACTGGGGTGCTAGGACCCACACAGACCACAGGGTGAGCACCCCCTGCTGGCCTCACTAGCACCTCTTCCAGCAGCAACCTAGTTTTCCCAGGAGGTCTCCCATCCAGGTACTGACCAGGCTCAACCCTGCTTAGCTTCAGTGGGCAACCAGATGAGAGCTGGAGAGTAATAGCTGCATGTTAATTGGTAAACAATTCCCTTAGTCTATGCAGCAAAAAACTTTAAGATCTAATGGGATATTTAATGTAATTTTACAGTAAAATACTGTTAAATGTACTATTTTTTTAAAGTGAAAAAGAACATATCACCTTTTAATTTACGGTGAAAACTATAAATTGACATTTCCAGAATTCTCTGTCTGACGGCTCACATTTGATGAGTTTTCCTTGAAATAATTATGTTTATTCTTAGTTTTTTTCTGATCACTTATGTCCATTAGGGCCTTATGTTACATTGCATGTGGTTAAATTAAAGTTTATTGCATTATTTTACTGTCAAATGTGTTACCATGTGTAATGTCTTTTGTATTTCTGTGTATGATACCAAGCATCGTCTATACATTAGTATTTACCGTGATGAACTTTGATTCTTCATGTGGTTTTCTCTTTACCACCTGTTTTTAATGTGGTTGTCAGTAAAAGTAAAAGTCAGATTTTTTAGTGTGTTACAAAAAAAAAATTGTGTACTGTATTAATGTTTCAGTTTTTTTTTTTTGTATGTAAATTCAAGCTGTAAAATGGTGCTACTATAATTTTTTTATGGGAAAGTTCTGGAAAAACAAAAAGGCCCTTTTCTCACTGACTAGCCAAAGTCTCAGTTTGTTTCCCATTTAATCTCATGGCTGGTACAGCAAACAGCTGGGATATTAGAGAGCTCATTTGTGGTTTTTCGTTCCTATGAGGAGAGCTGATTACACACTTGTCTAGTCATCTGTATTCTACCGCTTTGCTGTGTAGTTTGTGTTTACATGCAGTGTGGGTTGGTGGATTGCCATGCTGATAGACTCTCAGCAGCTTGTGCAGGTGTTTTTCACACTTTCGTTCTTGTCCCCTCTTTTTCAGGTTCCATCATTAATGATGGACGCCCAGTTTTCAGAGTTCACACCTGACATCACTCCCATCATGCTCGCCGCCCACACAAACAACTATGAGATCATCAAACTCCTGGTCCAACGCAAGGTCACCATTCCTCGGCCGCACCAGATACGCTGTGATTGTGTGGAGTGTGTGTCCAGCTCTGAGGTGGACAGCTTGCGTCACTCCCGGTCCCGTCTCAACATCTATAAAGCACTCGCCAGCCCCTCTCTCATTGCCCTCTCCAGCGAGGATCCCATCCTAACCGCCTTCAGACTGGGCTGGGAACTGAAGGAGCTCAGTAAAGTGGAGAACGAGTTTCGACAAGAGTATGAGGAGCTTTCTCAGCAGTGTAAGCTCTTTGCAAAAGACCTGCTGGACCAGGCACGTAGCTCCCGTGAGCTGGAGACCATCCTCAATCACCGTGATGACCAGAGCGAGGAGTTGGACCCGCGAGAGTGCCGAGACTTGGCCAAACTCAAGCTGGCCATTAAATATCACCAGAAAGAGGTGAGGATGCTTCTAGTAGCTACTTGAAAAACTGGTTGCTGGTCATTTCTACTCAGTATAACGTTGAACATACAATGAATTTTATGTGCATGAGATTCTGTAGTGTGATGCTTTTGGAGAAAGTTTGTATCACTGAGCGTTTGGCTCTTTTTTTGCAGTCGTATCACAGATTTCCCTTCAATAATCTTGGACATACAGTACATTACTTCTGGTTGTTATGGCTTCAGCAAAGGCAGCAGTGAAACCTTTATTTTATGATTATGATTGAATCTCAAGAAAACATGTCCAAAAGTCTCGCCCCAAAACCAAAAGAATAATAAGAAAAAAATTGTTAGCAAAATATCATGAAACCTTATTTATTTATTTAGTTAAGTTTTTCCTTAATTCCCATAATACATTTTTGTTTTCATTAAAATCAGCGTTAATGAGAGTTTTTTTTTTTTACGCTTATGAGAAATGGGGTGGGGATGTGCTGAATTATAATGAAAATAATGTCCACAATGTTAGTTTTTCATTTTAAAATTTTAGTCGTCCAAAAATAGGCATTTCATTTAAGTGAAATTGAAAGAAAAAAATAATTTTGTCTGATTTTGGGGTGAAATATGACATATTTTTGACAGGTTTTTTTTCCGAGGTGCATCCAAATACACCATGAAAAGTACTTCTTGTACTTTATACATTTGTAATTTATACATTTTTGTGATATACATATGCAGTATCAATGCATCAAATTTGCTTCACTAACCCAAAATTTAGCTTGAGCAGCCAAAAAATGCTCAGTGTAGAAAACACTAGGGTGCAGAGAGGAAGTTTATGTTTGAATTTCTTTGTGTTGCAGAAGTCCAATCACTTTTTTTGCAGTTTAATAGTATTCTGCAGACCCTTGGTATGTTTAAGAATGTGTTGTTCTTTGCCTAAAGCAACAGACAAAGTGCCTTTCTAGCTTTCTCTCTGAACTTTCTGATCCAAAGGGGGATACAATGTGTGCTGGAGACCAGAGGCTTGATGAGGTTAGAAAGACAGGAGATAGAGACAGTGAGAAAAAAGCTTTAGGCAGATGAAAGACCGTTGCTCTGTTCCAAAACCTTGTGAGTTGCCACATTGCGTACTGCCTATAGGCAGCTAGCTTCTAATTCAGCATCCAAATAGTCTGGGAAGTGATTTGAAACTCTATCAATGCTTCAAATAAATAGTACTTTGCAACTGAGGCTTGACATAAAAATGACTTCAAATGACATGATACTCTAATAAGCATATAAATACAACACACAAATATTAGGTTAAATAATCAATTTTTAATTATACTGAACCATTTTATAGATAGTTCTCAAGTACTGAGTGAAATATACAGTTATTTACAGTATAATCTATATTTCTGCCATCTGGGATTATTTTTGCACTGAACTTGTTGCAATGCACTATGGAATTGCATTCTCCACAAAGATGCATGATGCTACCTTTGAATTTGGCCAAAAGAAGGCAGCATAATTAGATTTTAAAGACTAACCTTTTGGAACAGCTTTCATACAGGCCTTAAAATGCCACTTCCGTAGGAAGATCACTAGGTTTTGGAAAAAAAGCAAGGGGAGTGATGTGCTAGAATGTGCTAGGTAGGTGGGTGGGGGGGGGTCTGTAGCTGAACATATGCTGGTGTTTGTAGTGCTGTGTTTGAGAGAATCTTAAGTAGCTTATATATATATTTTACATCTAGCATTTGAATTTAATTTCTTTCAACATTTTGATTATTTTGCCTCTGCTGGTCATCATAATACGATAATTTAAAGTCAAATCAGTATCAGTGTCCAATTATGTGTTTCTTTTGGCCATTCTGTGTGTAAAAAGTGGGATAATTGTCAGTTTATTTTGTCTTAATGACTGGTTTGCCGTATTACTGTTTACTGTTACTTGACATGCTCCTAAAACCTAAAACACCAACACGCTCTATAGTTCAAAAGTTTTGGGTCAGTAAGATTTTTTTTTTTTTTTAAAGAAATGTACATATTTTAAATATATTAAATAGACATTTACATTGTCACAGAAAAAAAAATATATATTTAAAAAAATCTTTTCAACTTTCTATTCATCAAAGAATCCTGAAGAATCTAGCAGCACAACTTAAGCATTGATAATAATAAGAAATGTTTCTTGAGCACCAAATCAGCATATTAGAATGATTTCTGAAGGATCATGTGACACTGAAGACTGGAGTAATGATGCTGAAAATTCAGTTTTGCATCACAGCAATAAAATATATTTTTAAATATATTAAAATACAAAGCGATTAATTTAATTTGTAATATATTTCACAAAATACTGTTTAAGCTTTATTTATTTTTTAATTAATGCAGCTTTTGTGAGCATACGATACTCACAAAAAGAGACATTCAAAAATCTTACTAATCCTAAACTTTTGAACGATTGTATACAAGTTGCAACATGTACGTTATTCAGTAAACAAACCAGCATATGGGTTACAATGGGACTAAAGTCATAAAAAGAAACATGTTAATCTAATACTTATATTAAAAGGTTATAAAGGTTTTCAATCAAATAATATTGAAAGTATTAAAGTATCAGCCATTTGTCCAAAATAAGGATAAAAACATTTTGATGGTGCATGGGAAACCACCTTGAGTTACTTTCCTTGATTTACACACTTCCACGTACAGTAAATCAATTTTAAAACTGTCTTTGGAATTCCAGGGAGATTTCAGTGATCTTTTTCATTCTGAAACCCAAACTGTTTCGTTGCAGAACTGACACATGTTCCAAACTGAGGATTTGAGAGCCTGGTGTCAATATGTCTCGTTTCTCTTCCTGTCAGTCAGAGGTGATACTGGCCCTGGCCTGCGAGACTGCTCCTCCAATTAGCTCCAATTGTTTTGTGTGCCTCAAGGAAAGCTGCTGTGAATACAGATCACAATGCTGTACGCATACACACACAGGGAAGATGGTCAAGACAGATGTGGGGCTCTGAGCCAAGAGATGCTATACAATTGAAAAAGAGAGATGAAGACTATAATGAGCCCATTTAGTGTGTCATTATATTTGTAGTGATTAAAGTTTTATAGAATGAGATTAAATATTGAGAAAAGCTTACCAGCGTTATACTCAAGATTCCATGTAGTAATTTGTCTTCATTTAATATTAAATGAGTCAGAGAAGATGATGGTGTAATACTAACAGGGTTGAAAGGGCAAGGAGAGTGCAGAGAATCAAATACATTTGGAATAAAGCCACACAGGCTTGCTTGAAACTAGTGCTGGGCGGTATGACCAAAAATTTATATCACGGTATTTTTCAAAATTATACCGGTTTCACGGTACATGACGGTATTATTTTTTCATGCATGACCGGGTGTTAACCATATTTTCTACTGATTGAGAGAGGAAATACTGCAGTATATTGACTTAGAATGCCCTATTTTACTGTCATGATGAGTGAATATTGTCAAAAAATACCACACTAAATAGTGACTAAACACGACCCCTTTTAATACATGTTAACCAGGAGTCACTCTCATTTATAATCGCGGCATCGTCTGATAAAATCAACATGCATCTACACTAAAGAGCGGCTATGCGGTTGTTTTGGCTATATTACTTTTTTGTCTCATGCAGCGCACTGCCTGCGTCTGAGTAACAAACTAAAAAAAACAACAAACAAAAAAGTGCATGTGATATTAACAGATGAACTACGCTCATATTTATAATTCCAAACAATCAGTAAGCGACAGGTGCTTGAAAATGCTGTTTTGTACTTACGGTGAAGCTCCTGCGGGAGTGGGGACTGCTGCGGCAGTGGGGAAATACAGAAAAACTCCTGCGGGAGCGGGCACTGCTGTGGCAGTGGGGAAATAGGGAAAAGGCTCTTGTGGGAGTGGGCACTGCTATGACATCTGAAAAGAGAAAAATGGCTTCTGCGGAAGTGAGCACTGCTGCGGCAGAGTAAGATACAGACAAAGGCTCCTGTGGGAGCGGGAACTACTGCAGCTGTGGGGAAATATGGAAACGCTCCTGCGGGAGCGGGAACTGCTGCGGCAGTGGGAAAATATGGAAAAGCTCCTGCGGGAGCGGGCACTGCTGCGGCAGTGGGGAAATATGGAAGAGCTCCTGCGGGAGTGAGCACTGCTGCGTCAGTGGGGAAATATGGAAAAGCTCCTGCGGCAGTGGGGAAATATGGAAAAGCTTCTGCGGGATCGGGCACTGCTGCGGAGTTTTGCTGTTGTTGTTACTGATTGTACAATCTTGCACACAAACATCAGCAAGACATCTACTTGGTTTGTGGATTTTTCATCTAAAAGATGTAATTAGTATTGCTGATACTTAAACTTGGAAATGGGAAAAAACTGCAATCATAATGTATCAGTGTTCATTTAAGTATTATTTATATACTGTTATATATACTATATATATATATATATATATATATTAAATAGCGGTTTAATTTTAGTTCAAGTTGTAGTAATTTTGTTATGTGCTTTTGTCATTTTTAGTAGTTTGTTATACTTCTATTCATTTTTATTTCTGTTTTTGGAATTTCAAATTTTGGAATTAGTTAAACTTATTTAATGTAGCTGCCATGTATTATGTTTTTTTATATTTTGCTTTTATTTTAAAAATTATTTTTATTTAATATTTTGTTTTAATATTTTTAATGTTTCTATTTAGATTTATTTTATTTTTATTTCAGTTTTAGTTTTATTAATTTTAGTGTTTCAACTTATTATTTAACTTTATTTCAGTTAGTTTCCAAGGCAACATTTGCAATTTTCATTTTTTGAAATTTTTTTCATCTAATATTTGATTTCACTCAATTTCAATTACTTTTAGTTAACAGTAACAGCACAGTTAAGTATAAAACTTTGGTTTGTAACTTTGTTTGCACTATGAACATGAATAATACAGTACGTCGAATAGTGTAGCTTTTTGTGGAAAGGTGCACTATAGATGATTGAACTGGCAAAAATCCCATAGATTTAGATAACAGATGCTATAGGC